ATGGATGGTTCCACCCTCTTCCTGGATGGATACAAACCTCTCCATGGATAGATCCAAACTTCTCCATGAAGGGATCCAAATCTCTCCATGAATGGATCCAAACCTCTCCAATGATGGATCCGTCTCTCTCCATAAATAGATCCAAACCTCTATAGCTATGGATCCACCCCTCTCCAGACATGGATCCATCCTCTCCATGGATGGATCCACCCCTCTCCAGACATGGATCCATCCTCTCCCTGGAGGGATCCAAACCTCTCCATGTATGGATCCACCTGTCTCCAGCTATGGATCCACCCTTCTCCATGGATGGATCCAGACCTCTCCATGGATGGATCCAAACCTCTCCATGGATGGATCCAAACCTCTCCATGGATGGATCCACCTGTCTCCAGCTATGGATCCACCCTTCTCCATGGATGGATCGACCCCTCTCCATGGATGGATCCAAACCTCTCCATGGACAGATCCATTTTTTTGGAAGGCACGTCCCCACTGGGCTCAGAACTGCTTGCAGACCTCATTTTCCTTTGGATCTCTTGGATGCTCCCATGACAGTATGGACACGTAGAGACCTAAGAGTTGGGAGCACCTTGGAAACCCTGGATAGGGAAGAAAAAACTCCAGCAGCTGCAGAACTCAGCTGGGAAAAAGGAATCCCAGCAGGGATGAGGAACATCCCCTTTCCCGCTCGCGTCCTCTGCGCCGGGAATTCCCGAATCCTCGGCACATTCCCGGTTTTCCACGGGCTCTGTCTGTGCTCTGCAGGTGGCTGGTGGGGCACGAGGAGAACAAGCAGAAGACAGACGTGCACTACAGGTCCATGGGGGGAGAGGGCAACTTCAACTGGAGGTTCGTCTTCCCCTTCGACTACCTGCCGGCCGAGCAGATGTGCCACGTGGCGAAGAAGGTGAGCGGCCTGCAGGGAGGGACTCCTGCCTTCTCCCGGGAATTCTGGGGTGGAATTGGCGCCCGGGACCTTCGCAGCCGGAGCTGTGCAAGGCTCAGCTTTGCCGTGGTGTCGTTTGAACTGGGAAATGGGTGCGAAGGATCCGCGTTGGCGGGGTCAGGGTTAGAGGTGGGTTTGTGGGAGGGGTTTGGAGAGGGGGATCCGCCCGGGAAAGACCCCTCTGGGCTGGGCAAGGATGGATGTTGGTGCAGTGGTGGCCAAGTGCTCTCCAGGTGAACTTCCAAGGCGGCTTGGTTGGTCTGGAGAGGGCGTTCCCATGGGAATGGTTGGGTGGGAACCTCTGGCCTCCCCCATGGAATCGTGGGTGTCTTCCTGTGCAAGAACTTCCCAGACGGGCTAAAGAGGAGGGGAAGGAAGGAGCTGCCTCCAAATTGCTGAGGGGAACACGGGTTGGGATGTACCACTGAGGGGAAGAAAAGCTTTGGTTTGGGGTTCAGGGAGAAGATTGGTCTAATAGGGAGTTCCTCTCTTGGGAAGTTACAAATGGATGTGATTCCTCCACCTGTTATTGCTCCTGATGTTCCTTGGATCACTTGGTGCAACGGGGTGATCGAATGTGGGAATTTCATGGAGGGAAGGAAACAGGGATTGTTTTGGGGTGTGTGGGATAATGCCAGTGAAAACAGTGGAAATTATGGAAATAATGGAAATTAGGGAAAATCGGACGCAGAAGGCTGCAGGGGAAGGAGATCTGTTCCTTAAATTTCCTGCTCCTCACCTGGATTAGGAGGATTAAAGGAGTAAGAGGAGTGGGATTCTAGTGGAATGTGCTGATCCCATGGCAGGAGTTTGGAGTTGGATGATCTTTAAGGTCCCTTCCAACCCAAAGCATTCCATGAGGCATTCCAGGATTGTTGGGGGTGTGGGGTGTGGGCAGCAGGGACAGTCCTGCCTGCCCAGACTTGGTCCTGCTTGTGACACTTCCCTGGAGGCTCCAACTGCAGCCACCTACCCCTGAGCCTTCATCTCGTGAGGAAGGTGTGATTCCATCACATGAGGGGGAATTTCCTCCTGGAAAGGGTGGTGAGGCCTTGGCAGGGGCTGCCCAGGGAGGTTTGGAGTGCCCAGCCCTGGAGGTGTCCCAGGAAGGCCTGGCCGTGGCACTCAGTGCTCTGGGCTGGGGGACAAGGTGGGCATCGGGCACGGGGGGGATCCATGGGCTGGGAGGGCTTTTCCAACCTCAGTGATCCAGGAATTCTGTGATCCCGTGATCTCTGCTCCCTCCCTGGCTCCTGTGAGCTCAACCTCACGGAGTGAGTGTTGCCCAAACGTCCCTGTTGCACTGGGACCGTCCCCCAAACCCCCAAACCCGCCGGGACCCCCCATCCCACCTGAGTTTGTGCGACTTGGCTTGGAAAAAACCCCCGAGCCAATCCCCCATCCCAGCCAATCCCCCATCCCAGCCAATCCCCCATCCCAGCCCCTCCAATCCCCCATCCCAGCCCCTCCAATCCCCCATCCCAGCCAATCCCCCATCCCAGCCACTCCAATCCCCCATCCCAGCCAATCCAATCCCCCATCCCAGCCAATCCCCCATCCCAGGCCAATCCCCCTACCCAGCACTCCAATCCCCCATCCCCACGCCACTCCAATCCCCCATCCAGCCACAATCCCCCTCCCAGCCAATCCCCCATCCAGCCCTCCAATCCCCCATCCCAGCCCTCCAATCCCCCATCCCAGCCCAATCCCCCATCCCAGCCAATCCCCCATCCCAGCCACTCCAATCCCCCATCCCAGCCAATCCCCATTCCCAGCCACTCCAATCCCCCATCCCAGCACTCCAATCCCCCATCCCAACCACTCCCATTCCCCATCCAACCCTCCATCCCCCATCCCCAGCCACTCCAAATCCCCCATCCCAGCCACATCCCCCGTCCAGCCCCTCCAATCCCCCATCCCAGCCCCCCAATCCCCCATCCCAGCCAATCCCCCATCCCAGCCCCTCCAATCCCCCATCCCAGCCACTCCCCAGCTCCCAGAGGGGCCTCTCCAGGCAGACAGGAATCCCAGCCGTGCCCATTTCACGCCTCACGTTCAACAGATCCCGGGAACGGCGCGTTCCACATCCAATTATCCCCCTCTGGAAAAGCCAAGCCCTCCCCTAATAAACCCTTTAAGCAAATCCATCCCACTGTGCTGGGATTTGCTTCCCCTCCCAGCACATGGCTCCGAAAATAAACAGCTTGTAAAAGGCCCCTGGCAAGGCAGGACTAATGAAGGCAGAGCCGGGGTTGTGTCCGGGGGCCTGGGTTTGATCTCCCCGGGTGCTGTTTGAACTCCCCCTTCATTAAAAGCGCTGCTGGAAGAGCCCCCGGCTGGAAAGGCGGGCCCTGGGAGTTGGAATTTAAATCAAAGCCGCCCCCGGGGCGAAGTGGGAGCTGCTCAAAGGCACCTGCACCCGGCTGGGGTTGGATCTCCCAGGGATTCCCGACCTCTCCCCGCTGTTTGCTCCCGTTGGGGTGGAAGGAGGGAGCGGGAATCGCGGAATTGCGGGATGGTTTGGGTGGGAAGGGGCCTGAAGGATCCCCTCATTCCACAGCCCTGCCGCTGGAGTGGCGGAATTCAGCCCCTCCACGTCACCACAGCCTGTGTTCCCCTTTAGGAATTCGTGGAATCATGGAATGGTTTGGGTGGGAAGGGACCACAAAGCCCATCCAGGGCCACCCCCTGCCCTGGGCAGGGACACCTCCCACTAGCCCAGGTCAAACCTGGCCTTGGACACTTCCAGGGATCCAGGGGCAGCCACAGCTTCTCTGGGAATTCCATCCCAGCCCCTCCCCACCCTCACAGGGAAGAATTCCTCCCCAATATCCCACTCAAATCTCCGTTTTTTCCAGTTTGAAGCCATTCCCTGTGTCCTGACCCTCCATCCCTTGTCCCAGGTCCCTCTCCAGCTCTCCAAGTGTCCCTAAGATTTGATGATCCAACCATCCCCCAACCCTGACCATGTCCCCAAGTGCCACATCCACAGGGCTGTTCAATCCCACAGGGATGGGGATCCCCCCCTGCCAGGGCTGGACAACCCTTCCCAGGAGGGAGTTTTCCCCAAATCCCACCTAAACCTGAAGTTTCAGCTTCAGATCCCCGGGGCTGAGCCTGGCAGGTCCCAGCTCTTGCAGGGCTGTCAGGTGGTCCTGGCACAGCCCCGGGGGCAATCCCAGCTCGGCTGGATGGGAATCTCCGGGCACAGGGAGGGCTCAGCCCCCACGTCCCGCGGGCACCGGGAGCTGGGAAAGGCTGGAATTGGTTGGGAACGTTCAGCTGCACGTCCCGGTCCCAGCAGCAGCCGAGTGCAGCTGCCAGGGCTGAGCTCAGGAGGGTCTTTAGGGCAGGAAAGGGTTGGCAGGGAATGTCAGAGCAGATGGAATGGGCTGGGGCCGTGTCCGGGTCTGGGACCATCGTGGACAGAAGGACATGGAGGGGCTGGAGAGTGTGCAGGGAAGGGAAGGGAGCTGGGAAGGGGCTGGAGCAGCAGGAGCAGCTGAGGGAGCTGGGGGGGCTCAACCTGGAGAAAAGGAGGCTCAGGGGGGACCTTCTGGATCCCTAAAATGCCCTGGAAGGAGGTTGGAGCCAGGGGGGATCGGGCTCTGCTCCCAGGGAACAAGGGACAGGAGGAGAGGGAACGGCCTCCAGCTGTGCCAGGGGAGGCTCAGGTTGGACATCAGGAGGAATTTCCTATGGAAAGGCCTTGGCAGGGGCTGCCCAGGGAGGTTTGGAGTGCCCAGCCCTGGAGGTGTCCCAGGAAGGCCTGGCCGTGGCACTCAGTGCTCTGGGCTGGGGGACAAGGTGGGATCAGGCACAGGGGAGATCCATGGGCTGGGAGGGCTTTTCCAACCTCAGGGATCCTGGGAGCTCCAGGGAGAGTTTCCTGCCTGTCCAGCTGCTCCAGGATGAGGGACCTGCTGCTCTCCCACACGCACAGGCTGGGTGCAAACCCCCCGGGGCCTCCTGCCCTCCCAAAAAATCCAGGTCTCTCCTTACTCTGTATCCCGTAGCACAAAAGCAGCCCAGCAGAAATGCAGCCCTGTCAACACTTTCCCGGGAACAGGAGCGGGTTTTTCCCTCCTCCCCTCTGCGTTATTCACATCCCCCAGCCTCCCCTCTCCCCCCTCCTGACTGCAGAACGACCCCCAAACAAACAATAATTCCAGCCCCTTCCTCTGCCCAGGGCTGGGAAATCAATCTCTGGCCGTGGGTTTTGTTTTTCTGGGGGATTTCAGAGCTCGGTTTGATCCCGGAGTGAATTTTACATTTAATCGCAGAGTGAATTTTCCGCTGCCTCCAAAGGGACCCGTCGACCTCCCCCAGCCTGGAATTGTCCCTTCCCACCCTGCCCTTCCCCCAGCCCTGCCTCTCCCTGTCCCCACTTCCCAGGGCTCTGGGCAGGACAGTTTTGTCCCCAGCCAAACTCCATTTACGGGGTTTTCCACAACAAAAAGGGTCCGGGCAGTAGGGATGGTGCCGGTGTGGGATGTGCTCCCAGTTGCCCCCTGGAAGGAGTGGGATCCCCCAGGAGTGACCCTTGGTCAGGCAGGAGGTTGTTCTGAGGGGTGGGAGCAGTGCTGGGATGAAGGGGGTGCAGGGAGGATCCAACGGGGCCACAGTGTGGGGTTTGTTCCCTTTGAGGGTGGACAAATCCTTGGATCTTGCAGTGGGAAGGGGGGAAGGTGGAAAGCCAAGTCCTGTGGGTTTGGCAGCAGTTCCTTGGTGAGTCATGGAATGGTTTGGGTGGGAAGGGACCTTAAAGATCATCTCATTCCACCCTTGCCATGGGCAGGGACACCTTCCACCAGCCCAGGCTGCTCCAACCTGGCCTTGGGCACTTCCAGGGATCCAGGGGCAGCCACAGCTTCTCTGGGCAACCTGTGCCAGGGCCTGCCCACCCTCCCAGCCAGGAATTTCTTCCCAATATCCCACCCAAATCTCCCCTTTTCCAGTCTGAAGCCATTCCCTGTGTGCTGTCCCTCCCTGCCTTGTCCCCAGTCCCTCTCCAGCTCTCCTGGAGCCCCTTTAGGCCCTACCAGGGGCTCTCAGCTCTCCCTGGAGCCTTCTCTTCTCCAGGGGAACCCCCCCAGCTCTCCCAGCCTGGCTCCAGAGCAGAGGGGCTCCACAATCCTGGAATGGTTTGGGTTGGAAGGGACCTTAAATCCCACCCAGTGCCACCCCCTGCCATGGGCAGGGACACCTCCCACTCTCCCAGGTTGCTCCAACCTGGCCTTGGACACTCCAGGGATCCAGGGGCAGTTTGGTCCAAGCTTCCCCTTGTTCCAGTGGGAAGTGTCCCTGCCCATGGCAGGGGTTGGAACGAGATGGTCTTTAAGGTCCTTCCCACCCAAACCATTCCAGGATTCTGTGAGGTTTCCCCCTCTCCCCAGCCAGGAGCAGATGTGCCCAGCAGGGGAACAAAACCCCTTGGAGATGGGAATCCTTCCACCTCCCAGACCCCAGGTGGACCTTTCCAACCCCCGGTGAGATCATCCCACCACCTTTAGCCATGGATACACATTCCCTTGGGATTTCTGCCCTGGGTGACTGACAACCCTCCTGCCATGAAGGCCCCAATATCCGGGAACGGGAAGAGTCACCAGAAACTCTTCCCCTTCCCTTTGGAGCAGCTTTAATTTCCAAGGACTGGGAAAGCTGGAAAAACCGGGAAGACATCCCCCTCCCAGCACCCCCTCGGAAAAAAACATCCCTGCTGACATCCAGTGCCATCAGCACGGGGGGAGAGAGGGAGCTTTTCATCGGCTTCATTTCTGGATTATAAAATATTTAAAGCCTGGGAATAAAACGCTCCGGTGCAAAATTCCTGGCCCGTTTTCCCAGAGCCAGGGGGGGAACGGAGCTCCAGTGAAACCCAACCAGCCAGGGGGAGCTCTGGAAGGGAAACCAGTTCCAGGGGGATTTAAGCTCCCACAGCCTCCCAGCTGGAATATTTATGTTCTCCTGGAGTGGGACACATTTTCCCCCCTTTCTTATTTAAATTGGACCATGGAATGAATCCGAGTTGTGGATTTATGGGGTCAGGGATAATGCTGGAGGTTCCTGCGTTTAAATGTTCTCCTTTCTGACACTTCCCCGGTGCAGGAAGGAGGAATTGCCACCAGGATACCCCTGGGAGGGGGGTCAGGAATCCCAGCCTGACTCTGCCTCCTCTTTGCGGGGCCAGGAGTGACAAACCCTCGCTCTGGGAGTGCTCTGGGCTCTCTCCTTCTGTCCTGATGCTCCTTTTTGGGTGTCAGGAGGAATTTCCTCCTGGAAGGGGTGGTCAGGCCTTGGCAGGGGCTGCCCAGGGACTGGGGACAAGGCATGGAGGGACAGGACACAGGGAATGCCTTCCCACTGCCAGAGGGCAGGGATAGGTGGGATATTGGGAAGGAATTGCTGGCTGGGAGGGTGGGGAGGCCCTGGCACAGGTTGGGCAGAGAAGCTGTGGCTGCCCCTGGATCCCTGGGAGTGTCCAAGGCCAGGTTGGAGCAACCTGGGAGAGTGGAAGGTGTCCCTGGGTAGGACTGAGTGGGATTTAAGGTCCCTTCCGACATGAACAATTCCATAATTCCATCTTTCTGACAGCTCTGAGTATCCAAAGGATAAATATTGTCAGTAAATTAAGGGATGAACTGGTGATAACTCCCCTTCCAGAGGCATCCTGGCTTTCCCACTGAGCATCCAAGAGCTGCCCAGAGCCAGAGGTCCTGTGGTTCCAGCCCTGCAGAGCCAGGGCAGGACACACCAGGAGCGCCAGGATTTCCATGGGAAGACGGGAACCACTCCCTCTGCCCACTTCCTCTGACAATCCTTTTGTTCCCCCTGGTTTTCTCTCCCGGTGGGATTTTAGGAGCATTTCTGGAGCTTGGACAAGACAGAAAACAAGATCCCACCACAGCTGATCCTCCAGATCTGGGACAACGACAAGTTCTCCTTCGACGACTATTTGGGTGAGCTGGGGGAGGTTTTTGGCTCCATCCCTCCCGGGGCAGCAGGAAGGGAAAAATTCCTGGAAAATGGTGCCTGGAAAAGCTGGGGCTGTCCCTGGATCCCTGGAAGTGTCCAAGGCCAGGTTGGATGGGGCTTGGAGCAACCTGGGATAGGGGAAGGTGTCCCTACCCATGGCAGGGGGTGGCACTGGATGGGATTTAAGGTCCCTTCCCACCCAAACCATTCCAGGATTTTGGAGCCCCTCTGCTCTGGAACCAGGCTGGGAGAGCTGGGGGGGTTCCCCTGGAGAAGAGAAGGCTCCAGGGAGAGCTGAGAGCCCCTGGCAGGGCCTAAAGGGGCTCCAGGAGAGCTGGAGAGGGACTGGGGACAAGGCAGGGAGGGACAGGACACAGGGAATGGCTTCCCAGTGCCAGAGGGCAGGGATGGATGGGATATTGGGAAGGAATTGCTGACTGGGAGGATTGGGAGGCCCTGGAATGAATTTCCCAGAGCAGCTGTGGCTGCCCCTGGATCCCTGGAAGTGTCCAAGGCCAGGCTGGACATGGCTTGGAGCAGCCTGGGCTAGAGGAGGTTGTGGTTTGGAGCTGGGGGGGGTCTGGGTGGCCCAAACTCCCTGAGATCAGGAAGGTGCCACAAGGAAAGAGCCCTCAGGGAAAGAGGCCGCGTTTCAAGGACCTTTACACTGAGCTGTCCCACCTGTGACATTCCTCCTTCCAGGCTCCATCCAGATGGACCTCAACAGGATGCCCAAACCTGCCAAGACGGCCGAGAAGTGCTCCCTGGAGCTGGTGGACGACACCCTGTCCTCCAACCACTTCGTGTCCCTCTTCGAGCAGAAAACTGTCAAGGGCTGGTGGCCCTGTGGGGCTGAGCAGGACCACAAGAAGATCCTGGCGGTGAGGAGGCCCCTCCACGTGTTCCCGTGGGATTCACTCCAAATCCCCATCCCTGGAGGTGCCCAAGGCCAGGCTGGACGGGGCTTGGAGCAGCCTGGGCTGGTGGGAGGTGTCCCTGCCCGTGGCAGGGGGTGGGACTCCACATCTGCATGGTCTGGAGTGGGATGATCCTTCAGGCCCTTCCCACCCCGAACCATTCCAGGATTTTCCCTGGAAGCTCTGAGGAGGGAGGTGTCCGGGCCGAGCACCTGCGGGATGTCACGGTTGGGGCACCACATGAAGTTTGGGGCTGTGAATTTTCCCTGCATGTCTGCCAGCCTCGTGCAAATTCCTCAGGAGGAATCCCTTGGTTTGTGGGGGTTTTTTTTTGGCCGTGGATTTTGGAATGTGCCACCGAACCTGACTCTGTGTCAGGCCCTGTTCCTGATGGTCTCGTGTCACGAGAAGCACCAGGGAAAGGCTCCAGCTGTCCCAGTGACACGTGGAAATGTGTCCTGTCCAAGGGTTTGGTGGTGCTTCCATCCAGGTAAAGGAGTCCAGGCTGTGAATGGAGTCATTCCACAAAAAAAAAACACAACCCTCCTGAGGCGGGTTCAGGGAAATCAGGAATCAGGGAATCAGGAAAGGCTGGACTCAGTGCCGTGGTCTGGTTGGCAAGGTGGTGATCGGTCACAGGTTGGACTCGACGATCCTGGAGGTCTTTTCCAACCTCAGTGGTTCTGTAGTTTCCCCAAACTTGGGTGTCAGTGACATTTGGGATCTCCTGGAGGATCCCCCGTGGTCCGTTGAGGGATCTCTGGACTCTCCCTGGTTTCCTCGTGGGTGGTTTCTGGGCTTTGCTCCAAGTGGATTTTCTTCCCCCAATCCATGTTTTCCACCCGTTTCTCACCCCTGCCCTCTTTTTTGGGGTTCTGAGTGTGTTTTGTTCGTGTCCCCCCCAGGGCAAACTGGAGATGACTCTGGAGATCGTGGCGGAGCAGGAGCACGAGGAGCGCCCGGCTGGGATGGGGAGGGACGAGCCCAACATGAACCCCAGGCTGGAGGAGCCCAAGTGAGACATCCCGAGGGGAAAATCAACCCCCGGGGCACGGAGAGCTCGGGGAGCAACCGGGAATTCGGGGGGGCCCAGTTTGAGGGGACTGGGATTGAACCGGGGTGGGCTCTGTTCTCAACTGGAGTGGGAAGGGAGACAGGCCAGGGGAAGGGGAGCCTGGTCTGGAGCACCAGGGAGGACCTGGTGGGACATTCCCAGAGGGATGGAGGGGCTGGGACAGTCCAGGGAGGTCAGGAGGGTGATCTGGACCATCAAGAGGGACATTGGTGGGACATTCCCAGAGGGATGGAGGGGCTGGGACAGTCCAGGAGGGGTGGGAAGCTGGTTTGGACCTCCAAGAGGGACGTTGGTGGGACATTCCCAGAGGGATGGAGGAGCTGGGACAGTCCAAGTGGGATGGGAGTCTGGTTTGGACCTCCAAGAGGGATGTTGGTGGGACATTCCCAGAGGGATGGAGGAGCTGGGACAGTCCAGGAGGGATGGGAAGCTGTTCTGGCCCACCAAGAGGGACATTGGTGGGACATTCCCAGGGGGATGGAGGAGCTGGGACAGTCCAGGAGGGATGGGAAGCTGTTCTGGCCCACCAAGAGGGACATTGGTGGGACATTCCCAGAGGGATGAAGAAGCTGAGACAGTGCAGGAGGGATGGGAAGCTGTTCTGGACCACCAAGAGGGATGTTGGTGGGACATTCCCAGAGGGATGAAGGAGCTGGGACAGTCCAGGAGGGGTGGGAAGCTGGTTTGGACCACCAAGGGGGACATGAGTGGTTCATTCCCAGAGGGATGTGGGTTTTCAGGCCACACTGCTGGGATTGGGGATCCAGGAGGGCGAAGCTCTGACGTGACCTGAACTTTTCCCGGCTCCAGGCGCCCGGAAACCTCCTTCCTGTGGTTCACCTCCCCCTACAAGACCCTCAAGTACATCCTGTGGAGGAGGTACAAGTGGATGCTGATCCTGCTCATCCTCCTCTTCATCCTGCTGCTCTTCCTGGGGATCTTCATCTACTCCTTCCCGGTATGGAGCGGGCTGGGCAAGGCTGGGAGAGATTCCCCTGGATGGGAGGGATGGTTCCAGGGCAGGGGGCTGGAAAAATCCGGGGCTACTCCCTGAGGAACAGCCTGGGGGATCGTGGGGGTCAAAAGGTGGTTTGGTTTTGGGTCATTCCTGAGAAGGACGTGGAGGGGCTGGAGCGTGTCCAGGGAAGGAGCTGGGAAGGGGCTGGAGCAGCTGGAGCAGCTGAGGGAGCTGGGGGGGCTCAGCCTGGAGAAAAGGAGGCTCAGGGGGGACCTTCTGGATCCCTAAAATGCCTTAGAAGGATGTTGGAGTCGGAGGGGGGCAGAAATAAGTGACAGGAAGCAGGACAAGAGGGAACGGCCTCAGGCTGTGCCAGGGGAGGCTCAGGTTGGACATCAGGAGGAATTTCCTCCTGGAAAAGGTGGTCAGGCCTTGGCAGGGGCTGCCCAGGGAGGGGGTGGAGTCCCCACCCCTGGGGGGATTTCAAATCCCTGTGGATGTGGCACTTGGGGACATGGTTGGGGGTGGCCTGGGCAGTGCTGGGGGAGGTTGGACTCCATGATCCCAGGGGGCTTTTCCAGCCTCAACCATCCCATTCCAGACTCCTCCTGCAGGCTGAGCCCAAGGTTCTCCCCTCTCTGTGTCCATGTTTCCAATGGGGGTCATTCCTCCATGGGGTCAGTCCCTCAGGAACTGCTCCAGGTCCTTTTCCATGGGGTCAGTCCCTCAGGAACTGCTCCAGGTCCCTTTCCAGGGGCTCAGTCCCTCAGGAATTGCTCCAGGTCCATATTCCACGGGGTCAGTCCTTCAGGAACTGCTCCAGGTCCCTTCCACAGATGGGTCCCTTCCATGGGGTCATTCCTTCAGGAACTGCTCCAATGTGGGTCAGTCTTCCATGGAGTCATTCCTCCAGGAACTGCTCCAGGTCCATATTCCATGGGGTCATTCCTTCTGGAACTGCTCCAACATGGGTCCTCCACAGGGTCCCAAGTCCCCCCCTTGCCCAGACCTGCCCACACCCCCCCCTCACACCCCCCTGCATGTCCCGGAGCAGCAGTGGAGCCTCCCTGACCCCGGCCTGCTCCGTGTTTCCCTGGGATCCGAGCGCTCATTCCAGCGGTGTCCCACAGCCCCGGCGTGGGCAGGAGGAAGAACCCCGAGGCCTATAAATATTGCTTTCCACCCGGCACTCCTCGGGATCTCTCCCTGTTTTCTGGTTAAAGGCCGGGTCGAGTTTCCCCCCGGGGAGTTCTCAGAGCTATTTTGGAAAAGCGGGGCCGTGGCTCCTGGAATTCCTCCGGCTTTGTGTCTTTGGCCTCGTTCCCCGGAATGTTTGAGGTCGCCGCGTCTCCGCAGGGATTTAGTTCCTTCCCCCTTCCATCAGGGACTGAATTTGGGGATGGTTTGCTCCCAAGGATCCCCCAGGCATCCCGACCTTTGGAAGGGATGTCAATCCCTGGTTGAACACGTGGAAAACCAGTCCCTCCCCACTTCTGATCCCGGTTTGTGTCCCGCTGGCCAGCGGGGTTTGCTGCGTCCATCCCTGGAGGGGGGATCTTCCCACTCCACAGGGAATTCTGAGGAATTCCCACTCTGCAGGCAGAGGGGTTTGTGGGCATCCTGCCCCTCTCATCCCAGGAAAAGCGGTGGGTGATGGGAAGGAAAGCTCAGGGAACCTTGGAATGTTCCCGTGGAAGGGCTCTGTGGTTCCGTCCCCGGGACACAGGGATGGATCACGGGCTGGAATAAAGACCTTCCCATCCCTCCTTTCCTCCTCTTGGATCCTCTCCCAGCTCTCTTTCCCGGGAGAGTTTTGTGCACCCAGTTGTTTTCCAGGCAGGGAATATGCCATGGTTTCCCTGGAGGAATCCGGGGCCTCTTAAGGAGCAGGGAGAGACATGGAAAAGTGGGAAAGGGCCTGGAAGTGCTCAGGGATGAAGATGAGGTTTATCAGGATCCATGGAATGCTGGGAGTAGGGCAGGATGGGAAATCAAGGCCCACATCCATAAGGAACCATCCTTAACCCCACTGCTTCCAGAAGAAGTGGGAAAGAGCCAATTCCAACCGAAAACCCGACTGGTTTTGGGTGGAAAACTGCCCGGAATTGCACATTTCCATCCAAAAAATGGTCTAGTTTTACAAAAACGGGGCAAAATATTGCAAAGCTGATATTGTGAGGTTCTGAATTTATTCCTGGGCTCTCCAACCCCCCCCCCCCCCCCCCCAGTGCCAGGGGACTGCTCTGCTTTAGTTTTCCCTGGAGACTGGCTGGGATTTAGGGCTGTGCAGACCAGGGGCAGCATTCCCTGGAGATTTCCTGTAGGGTTTCCTTGGGTGGTCCTTAAATTTAACTTGCCATCAGGAGCCTCCTGAAACAAGAGGGAAATGAGATCCAGTAGCTGGGGGTTGGAGCTGGAGGAACTGGTCCAGTGGGAACTGGGGGCTAATTTGTGAGATGAAGGATAATTAACCACTGGAATAACGAGCCAGAGGTTGTGGTGGAGCTGTTGCTGCTGGAGAGGGCCCAGGATGGAGATGGAATGTCTTCCTGCAGGAGGAGCCCCATCCCTGGAAGTGTCCAAGGCCAGGTTGGACGGGGCTTGGAGCAGCCTGGGATAGTGGGAGGTGTCCCTGGGTGGGATTTAGGGTCCCTCCCAACCCAGAGCATTCCATGATTCCTGGATACCTTTTCTTCCGGCTTCACATCCAGCCCCAGACGTTCACCCAGCCATTCCCACTCACCCACGGAAGCACTGGATGAAAATTCCATCAAAGGCACTGGACTTTTCCAAAAAAAACCCCAGCAAATCCAGAAATGATCCCACTGGGAAGGAGCAGAGGGTGGAACTGGAGCTGAGAGAATCCCAGAATCCCAGACTGGTTTGGGTCGGGAGGGACCTTCGATCCCACCAATCCCAACGTTCCCACGGCTGAGTGGGAATGGCTGAGGGAACACCTTGGGCTGGGTGTGGAGTGTCATGGAATCATGGAATGGTGTGGGTTGGGAAGGACCTTAAATCCCACCCAGGGACACCTCCCACTATCCCAGGCTGCTCCAAGTCCTGTCCAAGCTGCCTGTGACAGAACATCTTAGGGACTATAAATCCATAACACGTCGGGAATACGCTGAAGGATCTCCCCAAAATGAGGATTATTGGGAAGATCTGAGTGGCTGCCACCACAAAAAAACCCAGCTGTGCTTCCAGCTGGATGTGACTCCACTTTCAACACCCGGGGAACCCAAATTCAGCCCGGGGCACAAAACTTCTCCCTTCCGGGACACAACCGGTCAAATCCCAAAATCCAGGAGCGTTTTGGAGGCTGGACTTGGAGGGACAAATGGTGGATGATTAATTCCGAGGGGTTTTTTTGTCACTGGGGGCTTTTTAATGACTTCTGGGAAACTGCCCTGGCTTGATTTATGGCATTATTAGAAATCCTGGTTGGAAAACCGCTGGAGAAGCTGCTCCACGTTGTAATTCATCAGGATGCTTCTGCTCAGACATTATTTGGTTGGTTTTAGGGTTATTTTGTGTCTTTTCCCCCCTCATTCCTCCCCAAATCCTGCCCTGGGATTTGTTTCCAGTTTGGGGGTTTTTTTACGAGTGGTGGATCATCCCGGGCCAGTTATGGAATGGGAGGAAGGACTTCCCAAATGTCCTAAATGTGCATTTTTGGGGTGTTTTCACCGTGGTTTGATCAGGGGGGGTCAGCACAGATTATTCCTGATCGTGGCACTGCCACATCTTCTGTCAAGGAAGGAATTCCATGGAAAACAGGCTGAAATCCACCTGTGACACCCCAATTTCCATGTCAATCCTAAAGTTCTCCCTGTGCCGGGCACTGCTGAGCCCCTGGAATTCTGGGGTTGGTTTTGGGCCCCTCACAAGAGAGACATGGAGGGGCTGGAGCGTGTCCAGGGAAGGAGCTGGAGAAGGGGCTGGAGCAGCAGGAGGGGCTGAGGGAGCTGGGGGGGCTCAGCCTGGAGAAAAAGAGGCTCAGGGGGGACCTTCTGGATCCCTAAAACTCCCTGGAATGAGGTTGGAGCCGGGGGCAATCAGGCTCTGCTGCCAGGGAACAAGGGACAGGAGGAGAGGGAACGGCCTCCAGCTGTGCCAGGGGAGGCTCAGGTTGGATATTGGGGAAAATTCCCTCCTGGAAAGGGTGGTGAGGCCTTGTCAGGGGCTGCCCAGGGAGGTTTGGAGTTCCCATCCCTGGAAGCTTCCAGAAATCCTTTGGATGTGGCACGTGGGGCCGTGTCCGCGATGGGGCCGAGGGGATGTTTGGACTCGATCCTAAAAGTCTTCTCCGACCTCGCCAGGGATGGTGGAGATCCCAGGAAAGGGGTGTGGGAAGGTCGTGCCTGGGGTGTCCCCTCTCAGCAGCACAAACCCACCCATGGAGCAGATCCTGGGGATGGAGGCAAAGGCAGGGAAAAAAATCCAGAGGAAAGTTGATTTGCCTTCCCTGCCTCTGGCAGAGCCCCTGGAGACGCTCCAGGGAGCTGCAGGCTGGGCTTGGACTCGGAGTTAATGAGGATGGGACAGGGCTGGAGACCCTCCTCTGCTTCCCGGAGCGATTCCAGGCCTGTGGAAAGCTCTGCTCTCCAGAAAAATCCCGGGGATGCTCAAGGACCTTTTCCAAAGGGTCCAGCTCAACAGGAAGAGGGGGTGAGGTCACCGGTTTTGGGGGAATGTGGGAAGAAGGGGCTGAGGTCACTGGTTTTGAGGGAATGTGGGAAGGAGGAGCTGTGGGGATGCAAGGTCGGGGTTTGGGTGGAGAATCCAACCCGGGGGTTTGTGGGAAGCACTGGAGGGGAAGGAGCAGCGGGATCCAGAGGAGAGGAGGAGGAGGCACAAATGGCTGGAAGTGCCTCCTGCTGGAAGAGCCTCTGGGCTGGTGCTGCTGGGGAGGAGCCAAATCCCTTCCCGGGCTTGGAAAAGCTGGAAATTCTCCTTCGGAGCTGCTGGGAGGAGAAGCCAAAACCCAGGAGTGACTCCTGGTGCTGGGGCTTGTTGGATCCTGGGATGGTTGGGCTTGGAAGGGACCTCAGAGACCCTTTCCCGACCGGGAGCTTCTCCTGGGAACAGGAAAACCACTTCCCCGGGTTTTTTCCCCTCCTGGTTAATGGGAAGGGGATTTTTTCCTGCTTGTCCCGGCGGGTTGGGATTGGGAGCTGGGCCATCCCTGTGCCCCGGATAAATCCGTGTCCCATTCCCATGCCATGACTGTTCCCTGTTTCCCTTGCAGAACTACGCTGCCATGAAACTGGTGAAACCCTTCAACTGAGCGGGGCCGGCGTGGGAGCTCCGGGGATTCGGGAACTGGGATTCGGGAGTTGGGATTCGGGATTTGGGATTTGGGAAGGACCTGCGGCTCTGGATCCCGGCAGAGGGGGGAGAAGGACCCCCCTCCCCCAGGCTCTGGACGGCTCCCAGGATGGACACACCAATTCCTGGCTGGAGAATCCGCCTGGGAATGTCACGGACCCAACCCTGCCCGGGGAGCTCTCGCTGTGCGTCCTGCTCGGGTGCATTTGCTTGGATCTTGGGTTGCTTTATTTTGTTTTATTTTATTTTATTTCATTTTATTTTACTTTATTTTATTTTATTTTATTTTATTTTATTTTATTTTATTTTATTTTATTTCATTGTGTTTTAATTTATTTTATTTTATTTTATTTTTATTTCATTTTTATTTGATTTTATTTTAATTTTATTTTATTTCATTTTTTTAATTTTATTTTATTTTATTTCATTGTGTTTTACTTTATTTTATTTTATTTTGATGTATTTTACTTTATTTTATTTTATTTCATTTTATTTCATTTATTTTATTTTATTTTTATTTTACTTTATTTTATTTTATTTTTACTTTATTTTATTTCATTTTATTTTATTTTATTTTATTTTAATTATTTTTATTTTATTTTATTTTATTTAGTTGTATTTTACTTTATTTTACTTTATTTTATTTTATTTTACTTTATTTTATTTTATTTTATTTTATTGGGTTTTACTTTATTTTATTTATTTTATTTTTATTTTACTTTATTTTATTTTATTTCATTTTATTTCATTTTATTTTATTTTTATTTTACTTTATTTTATTTTATTTTTACTTTATTTTATTTCATTTTATTTTATTTTATTTTAATTATTTTTATTTTATTTTATTTTATTTCGTTGGGTTTTACTTTATTTTACTTTATTTTATTTTATTTTATTTTACTTTATTTTATTTGGTTTTACTTGCTTTTGTTTCTGGTTTGTTTTGGTTTACTTTGGTTTTGCTTTATTTTTATTTTCTCCATTTTATTTTATTTCATTTCATTTGATTTCATTTTAATTTTTATTGTATTTTATTTCAGTTTGTTTCGTTTTACTTTAGTTTGGTTTTATTTTGTTTTGGTTTATTTTTGGTTTTGTTTTACTTTGGTTTGGTTTATTTCACTTTATTTTATTTTTTATTTTATTTTGGATTTTATTTTGTTTTTATTTTCTTTATTTTATTTCATTTTACTTTAGTTTATATTTTATTTTATTTCATTTTATTTTTTATTTTATTTTGGGTTTTGTTTTGTTTTTATTGTCTTTATTTTCTTTCATTTTACTTTATTTCAAATTTTATTTCACTTTATTTTATTTTTTATTTTATTTTCAGTTTTCTTTTGATTTTATTTTCTTTATCACATTTTAGTTCATTTTATTTCAGTTCATATTTGATTTAATTATATTTTATTTTATATTTTATTTTGGTTTTGTTCTGGTTTTATTTTCTTTATTTTATTACATTTTAGTTCATTTTATTTTATTTAATTTTTTTTAATTTTGTTTTTATTTTCTTTATTTTCTTTCATTTTAGTTCATTTTATTTTATTTAATTTTATTTTTTAATTTTGTTTTTATTTTCTTTATTTTCTTTCATTTTCTTTCATTTTATTTTCTTTCATTTTATTTCATATTATATTTTATTTTCTTTTATTTCCCTTTTTATTTTATTTTCTTTTAATTAATTTCCTTTTAATTCATTCAGTTTTATTTCCTTTTATTTCCTTTTATTATATTTAATTTTAATTCATAAAATATGATTTCCTTTTCCTTTATTTCCTTTTCTTTGACCTCCTTTTCTCATTTCCCGGGGTTGGAATTTTGGGAGAGGTTTCCAGCTGGAATTTCGGGAGTGGTTTCCACCTGGAATTTCAGGAGAGGTTTCCACCCGGAATTTTGGGAGAGGTTTCCAGCTGGAATTTCAGGAGAGGTTTCTTCCCAGAATTTCAGGAGAGGTTTCCACCCGTAATTTTGGGAGAGGTTTCCAGCTGGAATTTTGGGAGCAGTTTCTACCCAGAATTATGGGAGTGATTTCCAGCTGGAATTTCAGGAGAGCTTTCCACCCGGAATTTTGGGAGAGATTTCCAGCTGGAATTTTGGGAGAGATTTCCACCCAGAATTATGGGAGTGTTTTCTACCTGGAATTTTGGGAGAGGTTTCCACCTGGAATTTTGGGAGAGGTTTCCACCTGGAATTTTGGGAGAGCTTTCCAGCTGGAATTTTGGGAGAGCTTTCCAGCTGGAATTTTGGGAGAGGTTTCCACCCAGAATTTTGGGAGAGGTTTCCACCTGGAATTTTGGGAGAGGTTTCCACCCAGAATTTCGGGAGAGCTTTCCACCCAAAATTATGGGAGTGTTTTCTACCTGGAATTTTGGGAGAGGTTTCCGCTTGGAATTATGGGAGAGGTTTCCACCTGGAATTTCGGGAGAGGTTTCCAGCTGGAATTTTGGGAGCGGTTGGAGGGGAGGGAGGTGCTGCAGGACAGGGGGGCTGAGGTGGATCCATGGAATGCTCTGGGAGCCCTTTGGAGCCGGGTTTGTCGGTCCAATCCCTGTGGATGGTCCTGCCCGTTCCCAGGGACGGGAGGGGACACTCCTGGAGCAGGACTGACCCCGTGGGATGATCCCTACGGAAGATCCTTGAGGCCTCCTGGCCCCCAAATCCCGGGATTCAGGTGGCAACGAGCCTGGCTTTGGGAGAGGAAGATCCTTGCGGCCTCCTGACCCCCAAATCCCGGGATTCAGGTGGAAACGAGCCTGGCTTTGGGAGAGGAAGATCACTGTGGTCTCCTGGCCCCCAAATCCCGGGATTCAGGTGGAAACGAGCCTGGCTTTGGGAGAGGAAGATCACTGTGGCCTCCTGGCCCCCAAATCCCGGGATTCAGGTGGAAACGAGCCTGGCTTTGGGAGACACGGCTCATTCCAGCCTCCACTCGAGCTCTGACCCCTCCAAGCTCTCCCAGGCCTGGATTTGCTGCCGCTGGAATGTCCCCCCTGGAATGTGCAGCCACAGGGAGGGTCGTGATGAGTCCCAAGGCTGCTCCCTTGGCTCTGGAATTCTGGGATCACCGGCTGAGCTTCCCAAGCCCGGCCCTGGGGCCAGCTGGGGGGGATTTGGTTGGAGACCCCCAGGCAGGGGGGTGGAAGTTCTGCGGGTTTGGCTCTGCTGGGGATCCACTTCCAGCAGGAAAAGGAGCTTCCCTTGGCCCACCTGCTCTTCCCATTCCCATCCCAGACTCCCCAGATAACCAGGAGAGCTGGATCAGGCCCTGGAATTCCCTCCTACCTTTGGGAAAGGCTGAGTGGCCGTGGGGGGATTTGCTGGAATCCTGGAATGCTTTGGTTTGGGAAGGCACAACTCGAGGCTGTTTCCTTTCCCTTCCCTTTGTTTTCCCCCTTTCTCTGCTCTTTCCCCCCCTCTCCTCCTTTTTCCATCCCTTTGCATCCGGAGCCCACCAAAGGCTGCCATCCTGGCAGGAGTGGGAATTCCAGGCTTTCCCAAATCCACCCCCTTTCTCCCTCTTTGTCCTTCTCGGAACAGCGTGGAAGAAATTCCTCTGCTCTCCTACCTCCATGTCGGGACCTCTCGAAGGTTTTCCCTGGAAAAACATCACCCCATGCTTATGAAAAACATGGATCCAGGGCACTTTAAGTGGATGGAGGAGGCAGAAACCTCTTTGTCCTCCTTTTTTTCCCCCCTTTGGAGCAGATCCGAGGTTGTTCCTCTGCCCGAGGCAAACAAAGACAAATAGGATTTGGTGGAAAAGGGGAAAAAATAACCCCCAGGACAAGCAGGAGCTTCACAATCCCCGTGTCGTTTGCCAAGGAAAACACGGTGGGAAGAGGCATCTGCTTGCAATGTCCCTGGAAAACAAAGCCTGGATTCATTGTCCTCCTCCAAAGAGAACAGAGGACAATTGGCACCTGTTGGGATGAGTCACCTCCGAGGGGTGGGATGGGCCCATCCCGGGATTTGGAGCTGCCCAGCGGCTCCAAAGGGGGGCACGGAGGGCACTGGGGGGGTTGGGGGTCTCTCCCTTCAGGGCTGGAATGTTGGGAAGATGCTGGACCCTCCTCCCTCCTTTGTCCCTCCAGGGAATGTGAAGAGTTGGAGTCCGAGCCCTCCAGGTCATTCCTTTATTTAGGAGTTATGCAACTGAGGAAAAGAAAATAGAAATAATAATAATAACAAATAACAACAATAATAATATAATGTTGGGCTGCTTTTACGTATTTATTTATTTTCTCTGTGGTTGAATAATCAAGGATTTGAAATTCCCAGGTTTTCTCTGCCAGCACAAGGCCTAAAAAACACCCACCTTGTCACGGGACAGCCGAGATTTCCTTCAGCTCCTCCAGCTCCAGCAATCCCAGAACCCCCAAATCTCGTCAGCTGGGATCGTCTCCCTCGTGTCCTGAGCACAGGAAACCCCACAGGGGTATCCCAGGGAGACCTGGAGAACTCCCAGCTGGCTCCTGAGGGATGGGGTTTTGAGAGGATCATTCCCTCCTTCCTGCCTCCCCCACCTCCATCCCAACCTGGAGACGGGGGGATCTGCCCCAGGTGGGTAATTTTGGGCAACTTCCCGAAGAACTGGAGGGGAGGGAACTGGCCCAGGAGCTGGAGGAAGTTCAGGGAAGAGGGAGGAGGCGTCTGGGAGGACGAGGACTCCGGGAAGGATGAGATTGGAAGGCTTGGGGTTGTTTAACCCCCCAGGAAAGAGCCTCTGGCAGCCCCAAACCGGGAATGAATCCCAAGCGAGGAGGGGAACTGCAGGGAAACCTTGGCATGAGGGATAAAACAGGGAAAAGGGCTCTGGATCCATCCAGGTGTTGGTGCAGCTGGAGCAGCAGTTGAGGTCGGACCCTCCTCCCCGATCCTTCGTGTCCCCAAGGCTCAGGCTCATGGAATCAGGGAATTCCAGAGTGATCCTTCGTGTCCCCAAGGCTCAGGCTCATGGAATCAGGGAATTCCAGAGTGATCCTTCGTGTCCCCAGGGCTCAGGCTCATGGAATCAGGGAATTCCAGAGTGATCCTTCGTGTCCCCAAGGCTCAGGCTCATGGAATCAGGGAATTCCAGAGTGATCCTTCGTGTCCCCAAGGCTCAGGCTCATGGAATCAGGGAATTCCAGAGTGATCCTTCGTGTCCCCAGGGCTCAGGCTCATGGAATCAGGGAATTCCAGAGTGATCCTTCGTGTCCCCAAGGCTCAGGCTCATGGAATCAGGGAATTCCAGAGTGATCCTTCGTGTCCCCAGGGCTCAGGCTCATGGAATCAGGGAATTCCAGAGTGATCCTTCGTGTCCCCAAGGCTCAGGCTCATGGAATCAGGGAATTCCAGAGTGATCCTTCGTGTCCCCAAGGCTCAGGCTCATGGAATCAGGGAATTCCATGGGTGGGAAGGATCAGGGTGGGAAGGGCCTTAAAGATGATCCAGTGCCAGGGGCAGGGACACCTCCCCCTATCCCAGGTTGCTCCAAACCCCGTCCAACCTGGCCTGGGACACTCCCAGGGATGGGGATTCCACGACCTCCCTGGGCTTCCCAAGCTCCTTTCCTCCATCCCAAGTGAAATCCGTGGAGAACCAAACCCCGGATTGGGATGGTTCAGAGGACAAGGGTCCATCCTCTCCTTGCCTTTTTCCTGGCACTGGGAAAACTCCCCTTTGGCGACCTCTGGGCACTTTGGGAACCCACACCCAGGAATTCCAGGCCCTCACGTCCAAGTCTTCCCCCTTCCCAAGGAGGAACAGAGGCTGGAGAGGCTCCGGAGCAGGAAATCGCTCCCGGAGCGCCGGTGGGTGTACGAGACATGCCAGGCTGCCTCATTCCATGAAATCTGCTTCCCATTAAAGAGCAGCCGGAGCTCTGGAGCCCATTAAATGCTACTTTTCAGTACCAGGCTTTGATTCCAGCTGGTTGTTTTTATGGACGGGGAGCCGGGAGAGGGAAGGGGAATAAAAGAGAGGACAAAAAAAGACGGCCGCTGGGTCGGAGGGTGGAAAAAAACCCCCTCAGGATTCCAAACACACCTTCCCTGCTCCTCCAGGCCCCCTTGGAAAAGCCCTCGTGGATGGATCAGCCTCTTCATCACCTCGGTGTGATGGAGATTCCAGACTCCCCGGTTGGAATGGGCCTGGTGTGTGCTCTGGGAAATGTGGGATTTAACTTCCCCGGGAATGATGGGCCGGAGCGGGGCCGGGAGCAGGGATGGGGATCCTGCATCCCAAAGGCCTCAAAACAGGGATAAACGGGGTGAAACGAGTTCAAAGGTCATTAATTAGGGAGGAATTGTCTGCTCTGAGGGTGGGGAGGGGCTGGGATGGAATTCCCAGAGAAGCTGTGACTGCCCCTGGATCTTTGGAAGTGTCCAGGGCCGGGTTGGCCGGGACTTGGAGCAACCCGGGAGAGTGGATTTTGGGATTAAAGAGGATCCATTTGCCCGTGGTGGAAAGGGACCTGTGCCGACCTGGAGTCATGGAATCATGGAATGGCTTGGGAGGGACCTTAAAGCCCATCCAGTGCCACCCCCTGCCGTGGGCAGGGACACCTTCCCCTATCCCAGGATGCTCCGACGTGACCATTTCATTCCCAAAATGAAACCTCCCTTCGAGGGAAGCAAAGCAAGGGATGGGAGCCGCTGTCCCAGCTTATTCCTTCGGGAATAACAGCTCAGTGTCTGCTCCCACTGAATTCCTGCAGGGATTTCTGCCCTTCCAAGGGGAGCAGATTTCCCTCCCCTCCCTCCAGCAGGGCCCTTGGAAAAGCGGCTCATCCCTTTTTCCAGCCTCTGCCACTATTTTTAAGCTTCCCAAGGATGAAGACCGGACAAGGAATTCGATCCCAGCTGCGAAGGGAAACGGGGAGAGGAGGTGCCAAGCAGACTTTGGGCTCGGCTTCAGGCACCGGACCCACTCCCAAATGGGTTCCAGACGAGGAGGGACCCGCCGGGTTCCACAGCCGGGCCTCCAGATGTGCCACCCACCCCCTCCCTGGGACAATTCCCAGCCTCTCCGTGCTCCCGGTGCCGGGAGGATCCCGGGGTCGGAGGTGCTGACGTGAGGGAGGGGGGGGTTGGTGCTCCGGCCCGGCCTCTGGAGAGGTGATATTTTTGGGTGTGGGGAACGTCCCGACAGCTCGTTCCGGGTGAATCAGCGGCAGCTGCTCCCACCAGGATTCCAGAGGGCTTGGCCGGCGTTCCAGGGTCGGAGAAGGCTGGGAGCAACCTGGGCTGGGGGGATGAAATTCCTGGCTGGGAGGGTGGGGAGGCCCTGGCACGGGGTGGGCAGAGAAGCTGTGGCTGCCCCTGGATCCCTGGAAGTGCCCAAGGCTGGGTTGGAGCAGCCTGGGCTGGTGGAAGGTGTCCCTGCCCGTGGCAGGGGGTGGAATCAGATGATCTTTCAGGTCCCTCCCAACCCAACCCATTCCATGACAATCACACCCAGGGAGCGATTTTGCCACACTCAGGCACTTCTGGGGTCTCCCAGAGGGAAAATGCCCCGGGGCAGCCCCACATTCCCAGGCCAGGATCCTCACCAAGGAGAAAACATCCCCAGCTTTTGGGTGACCTCAGTTTGGGGAGGGACTGGAATGGATTTCCCAGAGAAGCTGTGGCTGCCCCTGGATCCCTGGAAGTGTCCAAGGCCAGGCTGGATAGGGGTTGGAGCAAACTGGGATAATGGGAGATGTCCTTGCCCATGGCAGGGGGTGGCACTGGGTGGGATTTAAGGTCCCTTCCCACCCAACCCATTCCAGGGTTCTGGAGCCCCTCTGCTCTGGAGCCAGGCTGGGAGAGCTGGGGGGGTTCCCCTGGAGAAGAGAAGGCTCCAGGGAGAGCTGAGAGCCCCTGGCAGGGCCTAAAGGGGCTCCAGGAGAGCTGGAGAGGGACTGGGGACAAGGCCTGGAGGGACAGCACACAGGGAATGGCTTCCCAGTGGAAAAGGGGAGATTTAAATGGGATATTGGACAGGAATTCCTGGCTGTGAGGGTGATGAGACCCTGGAATGAATTTCCCAGAGAAGCTGTGGCTGCCCCTGGATCCCTGGAAGTGTCCCAGGCCAGGTTGGAGCAGCCTGGGCTGGTGGAAGGTGTCCCTACCCGTGGCAGAGGATGGAATGAGATGGGATTTAAGGTCCCTCCCAACCCAACCCATTCTGGAATTCCTTGATTCTCACCTTTCCCAACCTCCCCTGCTGCCGGTGCCGGAGGATCCCCGTCAATCCCCCTCCTTCCCTGGCTCTGGGCTGTCTTCTCCACCTGGTCCCTCCGGGAGCACCCGGGAGCTCTTTGGGGTCGGGATTCCCGCGCCTGGGAGAGCTTGGGCTGAGAATTCCACACTGGGTTGGGCTGGGAGGGACCTGAAAGCTCATCCAGTTCCTCTCAGGGACACCTTCCACCAGCCCAGGCTGCTCCAACCCGGCCTTGGACACTCCCAGGGATCCAGGGGCAGCCACAGCTTCTCTGGGAATTCCATCCTCCCAGTCAACAATTCCTGCCCAATATCCCACCCAAATCTCCCCTTTTCCAGTGGAAAGCCATTCCCTGTGTGCTGTCCCTCCCTGCCTTGTCCCCAGTCCCTCTCCAGCTCTCCTGGAGCCCCTTCAGGCCCTGCCAGGGGCTCTCAGCTCTCCCTGGAGCCTTCTCTTCTCCAGGGGACATTCCCAGTTTTCCCAGCCTGGCTCCAGAGCAGAGCAGCATTTCCAATAATATTTAATTTCCAATAATATTTAAAACAACTCTTTAATTCCTGCTTTAATTCCAGCATTCCCAAGGGGGAGAATCCCAGGCTGTGGCTGAGGCTCAGGGTGTGTTTGCTGAGGAGATGGAGGAGGGAAAAACATGGATTTGAGTTGGGTTTTCCCAGGGGAAGGGAAGGAAAAGGCGGTTCCAGGGCCGGGCTGGGCCATCCAAGAGCTCCGGACACATCCCGGGCAAGGGCTGAGGGGAAAAGGAGAAAAAGAAAGAGGGAATAAGGAAATTAAAGAGAAAATAAGGAAAATAAAGGGAAAAGAAGGAAAATAAAGGGAAAAGAAGGAAAATAAGTAAAGATAAAATAAAAAAAATAAAGAGAAAATAAGGAAAATAAAGGGAAAAGTAGGGAAATAAAGGGGAAAATAAATAAAGAGAAAATAAGAAGGAATAAAGAGAAAATAAGGAAAATAAAGGGAAAATAAGGAAAATAAAGGGAAAACAAGGAAAATAAGTAAAGAGAAAATGAGAAAAAATAAAGA